GCTGTCTCTCCTTGAGCTTTTCCGCCCACAAGGAGAGCGCTACCTCCTGCCGCTCGTAGAGGTCCGAGTCCGCTGGGTTCCAATCGTGTCTTCATGGCACGGGTCGTGTCATTCTGTCAGGCGTTGCGTGGAGGCGAGGAAGAAGGAACCCAAATGCAGGACTGGCAGGTAGGTGAGGTTTATTATAAGGAGTGGGTGAACGGACACTGACTGGCTGGACAACTGAATGGCGGACTGAACTGAGGGAACACACAGGAAGGACAACATAACATCAATGACACGACAGTGAACGAGTAGAAACAGAGGGCTTAAATACACAGACTGATGAGGATGATAATGAGAGACCGATGAGTACACAGCTGAACATAATCTGGCTAATGACACTAGACGAGCTGACACAGGAAGAGCAGGAAGTGAGCACATGGAAGTGGCAAAATAAACTGAACATGAACAAAACTGAAAACACTGGGTCACCGACCCAGGAACCCTGACAATTGCGAATCAATTCTTAGATACTTTATTTCAACTTTCGTACAGTTCACATACCTTACAAATACCATCACTGTTTTGTTTTTAGGAAAAAACAACCAAGGAACCTTGGTTCTTAAAAACACCTAAAATACAACCATCATACGACCTGTACCCTGTATATCATTTGGCCTTTAAAAACAATTGAAGTGGTTAACTGATAAATAAGAACTGTTACATCTAATGCGTCCGCTGCAAAGCAGTGTCTTTTGGGCGGCTGTAGCGTGGTGGCTCAATACCAAGTTACTTTGAAATGCCACTCAAAGTATCTCCGGGCAAGAAACTGAACCCTGAGTGAGTGTGTATGCGAAGGTGCTTAAGTATAGAAAAAGCACTGAGTGTGAAACTGTATTATCAAAAATGGCTCTTAGGCTTATAAATAACAGAAGTGTTATTTCTTTGAAAGGCATGAAGGCTGGTCAAGGACCTGTTTTTGTGGGCAGCTGTGTTAATCCAACATGCTTGCTACTTCCGCTATTTAGGTTTGTAGGTATTACAACACTGAAGTTAACAGGTCATTACACTTGAAGCCCAACAGAAAATACTGAAGTGAACTGAGTCAACCACAATGACACATGCATTTCTGGGCTAACATTTTAATCCTTCTTTCGTTCTCTCTTTCTGTCAAAACAGTTACAAAAGGAGCCGACTCAGCAGATTCAGTTAAAGGCCCAAGCACTCATCTATCCTGTGTTGCAGGCTCTGGACCTTTACACACCTTCATATCAGCAGAATCAGTACATGCCCATTCTGCCCCGCACTCTTATGGTGCGTTTCTGGAGTGAGTACTTCACCAGCGACAAAGCTTTTTTTAGAGCAATGATGGCCAACACCCACAACAACCCAGAGTCTTCAAGCCTGCTGAAGTTTGTCAACTGGAGTGCTTTTCTGCCAGAAACGTATCATAGGAAGTACAACTACAGTGCTCCCGCAGTTACCGAGGGAACAGTTGCAATGGATGGACCATCTCGATCTCTTGCTGATCCGAGGGCGTCGCCTCTGCTTGTTCCTGACGCAGCTTTACGCTCTTTGCCGAAGGCCTACATTCTGACGTGCGAGTATGATGTTCTCCGAGATGATGGGATCATGTATGCCACACGGCTCCGTGCTGCTGGCGTTGAGGTGACACATGAACATTATGACACAGGATTTCACGGAGCATTGATGTTCACCGTGTGGCCAACTGACTTCCTGATTGCACGTCGCATGACAGACAACTATATTAAATGGCTCAAGGAAAATTTGTAAAAGGTTGAGGATCAGTAGTAGTTATTCCAGCATTTCTTCACAATGCAAGAATGTTTTGATTGGGTGTAGACTTTTGTTTCTTGGCCGTGTCTCCTTTTCTGTTTTTGTGTGTATTTATTGAGAAACTTGTACGTTTTGTTGCAATTGATAGGAGTAGGGAGCAAAATTTTGAGAGGATAGAACATTTTCTTTCCAAATAGGGTGGCTTGAATGCAGCACAACACATGACGGCATCACAAAAGTACAATAATAGTGTTGTGTTTGGCTCAACAGGCAAATATGAGGGTAAAAATATCTGTGGACTTTCTTTGGCCTGTTATGGTTTTCCATCCACAGCACCTCATATCTAGTTTGATCTTATGGCTTTAATAAGTAATGCATACCACTGAGAGTTCTGAAATATTCCATTAGAGGTTTAAAGAATCCAGTGTAAGTTTTGACACAGCAGAAAAGAATTTTCACAACAGTCTGTTTAGCCAAAGTTAACATTTATCCAAGCTGCAGGTCACTGACGCCTGAGGTGATGTTAGAAAATATCAAAAACACTGGCTTGCATAATCGCAACATGTTTAAAACAAAAAAGAATGACTCCTTTTGTTGTGTATCCCTTACATGTAAATGGTGCACATAGAGTTGCTTATGGCAATACCCTTAATTTAAACTGCAGAATGAATGGCATTTTAATCTAATAAAAGGGGGAAAAAAACAACTTCAAATCCTCATCAGAAACTCATCTACTTGCTTTGTGCTTTAAAATATTTTCATTTCAAGGCTACAGGCAGTGAAATAAAATAATCCACATTCCATGAAGAATATTGGCATCTGTATATAAAGAGCATGCTGCAAAGAAAAGCTTCGCCATACGCATAAACACATTTTTGCTATAAAGCTTAGCTCAGTGTAAAGAAGCAATATGGCAAAAAAAGAGGAAAAATATCTGGAGCCTTAACCTTTACCGATTATTACAAGTCTCACTTCCTATAATATGAGCTGATAATTTTTTATGGTAGTACATTATGTAAATAAACTACTTTACATTTGGAAAACCAGAAAGTGCTCTCATTTGGGAACATAGAGTCATAAATATAAAGTCGCCATATCAGGAATGTAGCATGTAGAGTTGTTTTTGCTTCATACGCAATAAGCAATGGTTCAAAGACTAGGGCACTTAGCTGGAGTTGTAAGTACAAGACCATTTGCCAGTTTGGTGAACAGTATGTAGGTGCGATTAAAGAGTTGGTAATTTGGCTTTCTATGCACGTCTGATTGTGTTTTTATGACAGTTGTTTGTTTGTCTTTGACTTTTGTTTTTATCTCTAACATACACAAGAAGTTGAGTTGCTTTTTCTTTTAGCAATGGTGAGGTGACTTTAGACTGATCACCTGTCATTAGAGCATTACTGTTTCCTCTCTCTTGAGTGACACCACCTCTGTGACTTCTGTACATATGGGAGATATCCAAATAACAAGCTGCAGTTAACACTATGCCTTTCTGGTCTGAAAGTTTTGAAATGTGTATGAAACTGGGCACAGTATGTCTTCATTGATTTTTAGCTTCTTTTTTTTTTTCTTACCAACATTGTTGGTAAAAAAAAAAACACATTGCAACATTTCAAGTTAACAGACAAAGCTAGCTTATTTCCTCAAACAGCTCCACTTGCTCAATTGTCAATATAACAGTTTCTATTATTTGTCCTGGGTTTCCTTTGTTAGGTGCATTTTTTTTTTAAAGCTATATGACAATAAATTTACTTGATCCTTACTTTGGCTCCTGGTTAATTGTACTTGATTTGCTAGCACTAACACCATCTTCACCAATGACAAAATGTTCCAGTAATTAAATGTTGCAAGAATCAAACTTTCATGAAGCTTAATAGCTTAATCTGTAATTTCAAATGTCAAATACAACATTGATTTTAGGATTTTGAGAGTAAATGTTTGAAATGCATTCCGGCATTTAAATTAAATAACTGTACTCAACATACAGAAATCAGGATAAAACCTTTGTAAATGATACCCATGATGCCTCTGTGACGTTGGTGGTCTGAAATGTAATATTCCCAGAGAATTTACTGTTTTAGTATATCACCAAATCATATTATAAGTAATATAGAGCTTCAGGCGTTATATTTGTCCTGGCATACTTTCATCTCTTTTTTTCCTGTTTGCTCTGTCTCAATATCAGGAAGGTAGTCCAGGCTAAATAAAATGATAGGTCAAGCATGGTGTGGTTAGTCGTGATGGGCATAAAATCCTTGCATGAGACGCCTCTATGATTCAATTTTTCTAGTTGGATTTTATCGTGTTAGGTTTGATAATCAAGTTACCTAACATGCATTTCTTTGGCACATGGAGAACATGCAGCATTTACATGGGAAAGACCAACTTGACCAGACCAAAATTGTTCGAATTTAAATCATTCTTGTTGATTTAGACTATGTCAGCCAGATGTTTACATACTATGGTTTATTAAGTGAATACAGGAACTGAAACTGTGTAATTGATACTCATTGTGTCATTCCACACCCAGCTCATCTCAGACTACGGCATTTGCTTCTAGTAGATCGTGCAAATTTTTTTTTCCTTTTTGTAACTTTTGTCCAGTTATTTAATCAAAATTCATTTAAATATATATTAATTTAACCAATACTCCCTTTAATGATTTGTGGAGAAAATGTTGAAGTCTAGGTAATAATAAAAGAGCAGACAGTTTTTAATAGTCTTTATTAGCTTAAGAAGCTATATGGCACTATAATGTGCAAACATTCCCAAATAAGACGTAACAATGATGAAGCAATGCAAAGTTAAGAGTTTCAGCAAATGTGACAAACTTTCATTCATACTTTTACTTCAAGAATATGCTATTACAACTTTTTATTACTTAATAATAATATAATATATATATGTGTGTACACACACACACACACACACACACACACACACACACACACACACACACACACACACACACACACATATATATATATATATATATATATATATATATATATATATATATATATATAATATGTTTGTGTGTGTGTGTGTGTGTACGTATATATATATATTTGTGCATCACTAAAGGAAGCAGTGATATGAGGAAAATACAAAAAGAAATATAGAAAATAAAATAAAGAAACTACAAAGTAGGTCTCATTGATGTACATGGATGCTATGCTGATATTCTTTTTTTTTTTTTTACGTACAGTAAGTTTGTAGTTTACTCATGAAGGGTTTCTTTGCACCACTGTTTTGCTGACTATATTTCTAATCTTAGATTCTAGGAGGTCTCTGAACTTGTCACCCATGAGGAAGTAGAAGATGGGGTTGATTACGCTGTGAAAAAAGGCTATAGGTCGGGTCAAGATATAGATACTCTTTATGTGCATCCGTGTGCAAATCTCCAGTCCTGCCCAGCCTTGCATAGTTGCTATTGACACATTTCTAAGCACATGGTAGGGAGTGTAGAGAACCAGAAATAGCGCTGCCGCTGATGCAACCACCTTTAGAGGCCGCTTGTATGATGATGCCGTGCTGCGCTGCAGAGCCCTTTCCTGGACACGCAGTAGGTGTGCTATTTGGTAGGAAAAAACACAAAGTCCAAACAGAGGGAGAATATAACCTGTCACTGTCAGCCCCAAGCTGTAGCCAAGCACACTGATATCTCCCTTCAGACTGCCAAAATCTCGGCACATGGTCCAATTTTTTTCTTTTAGGTCCTGCACCATCAGCGTTATCATTGGGGCAACTTCAATGCTGACAGCTATCCAGCTCAACCCTGTAACAATCAGAGCTGTTCGTGGCCTGAGCAGATAATGGTTCCTCATTGGATACTTTATGAGCAGGAAGCGGTCCATGCTGAGCCAAACCATAAAGAGTATGGAGGAGTAAAGATTTACATGCAGGACGTAGCGGTTGATAACACAAACATAGAGATTGCTCTCTTCCTTGTGATTTGAATAAAGGTAGCAGAGGCGTGGCAATGTGGAGAGGAAAATAAGGTCTGAAACCGCAAGACTGAAGAGGTAAATATTGCAGCTCTGCCACTGTTGTAAACAAAATATATAACCAAGTACAACCAGCAGGTTGCCAAGGAAACCAACAGAGAACTCAATTCCATAAAATGTTGGCAGGTAATAGGTCTCCAGTGCCTCAACTATCTGCGTACAATTAAGCACCTGTAGCAAAAGAGGAATACAGAGAAGACAGGAGTGAAAGAAGGAGAAAGGAAGAGGACAAAGGCGAGGATTGGGGCAAAATGAGAGAAAAAACAAAGTAAATTATTTATTCAAACTAATTTATCCAGTCAGTTATATCAAAGTCTTACATTCTGGAAAAGAAAACTTTAAGGAGATCTCCTTAACTCAAACTGAACACATTGAGCACAATACACATTATATTTGTAAAGATAAGACTTACCATGGTGTAGTTGTTTTGAAAGCTGCTGTTAGCGAGGATATGATGTGCGGTAGTGAGCAGGTGCAACCTCCCTCTGTACACTGGAAACAGTAAACACAGAGTAGTCAGGGTACTGGTGCCACGAATATGACATAAATAGCCATTTCATTTATGGTTTAAGTACACAAACACTTTGCGAGTTATTTGCATTTACAGCGTGGAAATATGATGGACGCCCAAGAAAACATGACTATATAGAATATAATTTTCTTATCAAATGTCATGGTCCTGGGCCATGTGGGCCCAGTATTCTTAGTTTTCATGTATTTTTGTATTTTGTTCTTTATTTAGGCCATGCTTCCTGGGTTGATCTGTTACGTTGTTCCTTATGTGTTTTCCCTTCGTGACTCTTACCCCCTGTGTGCCCCTCTGTGTATTTATGAGCCCTCGTCTCTCTTTGTGCTTTATTCTATGTTTTCCCCAGCCCGTTATGTCTGCGTTCTTCCCGTGCTCTCTCTCCTCCTGTCTGAACCTCTGTGCCTGTACCCGTCAGCGTTATGTTCACCCCGCCCTGTCTCGTTATGGTTATCTGTGTCACCTGTGTTCCCCGTGTGTTCCCACTTTCCTCGTTAACCCTCTGTGTATTTCTGTCTGCGTCTTCCTCTGTTCGGCGTCGTGTTCTCCCTCATGTTGTGTGTAATTCTCCCCGTGGTTCGGTTCCTTGTACAGTTCATGCGTTAGTTTTCCCAGTTTTAGTTTATTCTGTATTGCTTCCCGTGGCCAGCAATAAAGCGGTGTTTTCTGAGTTTATCCCCGTGTCTGTGAACCTGCATCTTGGGTCCTTCCCCTGCCTGCCACACAACGTATCATGACAGAAGAACACGACCACAACATGGACCCAGCAGTTCACAACCCCTCCGCGGACCGACAGTACGACGCGACCGTGCCGGACCCAGCGACACAAAGACTGGAGATTGTCCGGACAGTGGAGTCGCTATGCGACAAGTGGCTGCACTGTTCCAGTGAGGAGGAACGGGAGGAGTTCGCCCGCCAGGTAGGGGTGTGCGTGTCTGTGTTCCCCTGGCTATGGGAGACGCTGCACCCCCTCGTCAGCGACCTTCTCGTCTCCGCTCTCCGACTCCGTCCGCAGCAGCAGCGGCCCGGTGGGCGTGCACCTTCACCAGAGCCGTGCCATCGCGCCGTTGCCCCGCCGCCTCATGAGCCAGTGGCGGTCAGAGTCGGAACGGTGAGGCTCACCACGGACACACCATTGGCTCACACTTCATCAGCTTCCGCATCTTCGCCACCGCCTGCCTGCACGGAGATGCCCGAGGCTGTTGACTTCGGTGAGGAGGAGCGGCAGCAGGTGTTGCGGGCTTATCGGGAGGACGAGCTCCGGTGGAAGCCCTGGCTCATCTCGGAGCAGGACCTCTCACCTGCTGCACAGCCTACCAGCCGCTCGCCGTCTCCAATCCACTTAGACTTTACTTCGCCTGCCTCATTTCTGGCAAGGATGTGGGCGGACGACCGGGAGATCGCCGCTACATCACCCCTGCATCGGTGCCATCAGCGCCCATCGCGCCAGCTACCAGAAGGGGGCGGCGCCGGCGCCGCCGTGGCACCGCATTAACTCCGGAAATCTCGGAGCCCGGTCTCTGTGAGCAGCAGCAAGCAGCTTGCACCCACGTAGAGGAGGAGCTCCGGAGAAAGCCGTGGCCTACCCCCGATTGTCAGCACATCTTTCGGGGAACACGCCTGGCTCTCGGGGGCCCTCGGAGCCGCCAGGGTCTGCAGCCTCTCACAACTCAGTTAGCTCCCTCGCAGCCACCCTCAGTTCAGTCAGCTCCCTCGCAGCCACCCTCAGTTCAGTCAGCTCCCTCGCAGCCACCCTCAGTTCAGTCAGCTCCCTCGCAGCCACCCTCAGTTCAGTCAGCTCCCTCGCAGCCACCCTCAGTTCAGTCAGCTACCCTCCTGGAAGCCCCCGCTGCCTGGTATTCTCAGCATCGGCATCTTTCCCCGTCAAGATTTATCGCTAAATCATTCGATCCTCCCTTAAGAGAGGGACTGCATCCTCGCTGCCTTCACCCCAGTACACCAGTGTCACCTGGGTCTCCAGTGTCACCCCCAGTTCAGTCTCCAGTAGCTCCGGCGCCGCCTGTAGCGCAGGCCCCAGTAGCTCCGGCGCCGCCTGTAGCGCAGGCCCCAGTAGCTCCGGCGCCGCCTGTAGCGCAGGCCCCAGTAGCTCCTGTAGCCCAGTCCCCGATAGCAGTACGGTCCGCTGGTCAGCTTGACATCCAGCCAGGGGTCTCAAATCTCTCTGGCTCTGCATCAGCTCCTGCTGGGATCTCGGATGAGCTCATCCAGGACTCCGCGGCTCCCACGTCACCATCTACCTCGTCAGCTGGAGGGTCCGAGGGGCCCGTTCAGCCTCCTGTCTCCACTGGAGGGTCCGAGGGGCCCGTTCAGCCTCCTGTCTCCGCTGGAGGGTCCGAGGGGCCCGTTCAGCAACCTTCCTCGTCAGCTGGGGGTTCAGGAGAACCGCACCAGCCTCATGCCACGTCAGCTGGAGGGTCCGAGGGGCCCGTTCAGCCTCCTGTCTCCGCTGGAGGGTCCGAGGGGCCCGTTCAGCAACCTTCCTCGTCAGCTGGGGGTTCAGGAGAACCGCACCAGCCTCATGCCACGTCAGCTGGAGGGTCCGAGGGGCCCGTTCAGCCTCCTGTCTCCGCTGGAGGGTCCGAGGGGCCCGTTCAGCAACCTTCCTCGTCAGCTGGGGGTTCAGGAGAACCGCACCAGCCTCATGCCACGTCAGCTGGAGGGTCCGAGGGGCCCGTTCAGCCTCCTGTCTCCGCTGGAGGGCCCGAGGGGCCCGTTCAGCACCATGCCACATCAGCTGGAGGGCCCGAGGAGCCCATCCAGCCACCTTCTGCTACGCCTGGTCCAGCCTGTGCTTCGTCAGCTGCAGCCTCAGAGCCTTCGTCAGCTGCAGCCTCAGAGCCTTCGTCAGCTGCAGCCTCAGAGCCTTCGTCAGCTGCAGCCTCAGAGCCTTCGTCAGCTGCAGCCTCAGAGCCTTCGCCTGGTCCAGCCTCAGAGCCTTCGCCTGGTCCAGCCTCAGAGCCTTCGCCTGGTCCAGCCTCCGAGTCTTCAGCCTCGTCTGCCGCGGCTTCGGCCTGTGCTTCGTCTGGTCCTGTGCCCACCGGGCCATGGCCAGCACGCCTGACACTGGAGAGCCGCCGCTGCCTTCCGCGCGGCCGGCCTCCTGAACTGCTCCGTCGTCTCCTTCGCCGCCGCCGCTGCCTTCGCGCGGCCGGCCCCCGGAACTGCTCCGTCGTCTCCTTCGCCGCCGCCGCCTTCCGCGCGGCCGGCCTCCTGAACTGCTCCGTCTCCTTCGCCGCCGCCGCTGCCTTCCGCGCGGCCGGCCTCCGGACCGGCTCTGCCACCTGTGCCACCCGCCTGGTCGGCCCCCCGACCGTGTGACCCGTGAACTCTTGTGCCTGTGGGCTCTGGGTCGGCCCCCTGAACTTTATTTTGACTACGGTCATGTGCTCCTGTGTTTTCTGTTGTTTGTTTTGTTTCCCGTTCTGGTCCCTCCGTCCTGGTCCCCCGCCTCCCGCCCTGGGTGGGTTGTTTTCTGTTTTTGTTTTTGTTTCTCGGGTTTGGGCTGTCAGGAGCCAGCCCTTTAGGGGGGGTGGTGTCATGGTCCTGGGCCATGTGGGCCCAGTATTCTTAGTTTTCATGTATTTTCGTATTTTGTTCTTTATTTAGGCCATGCTTCCTGGGTTGATCTGTTACGTTGTTCCTTATGTGTTTTCCCTTCGTGACTCTTACCCCCTGTGTGCCCCTCTGTGTATTTATGAGCCCTCGTCTCTCTTTGTGCCTTATTCTATGTTTTCCCCAGCCCGTTATGTCTGCGTTCTTCCCGTGCTCTCTCTCCTCCTGTCTGAACCTCTGTGCCTGTACCCGTCAGCGTTATGTTCACCCCGCCCTGTCTCGTTATGGTTATCTGTGTCACCTGTGTTCCCCGTGTGTTCCCACTTTCCTCGTTAACCCTCTGTGTATTTCTGTCTGCGTCTTCCTCTGTTCGGCGTCGTGTTCTCCCTCATGTTGTGTGTAATTCTCCCCGTGGTTCGGTTCCTTGTACAGTTCATGCGTTAGTTTTCCCAGTTTTAGTTTATTCTGTATTGCTTCCCGTGGCCAGCAATAAAGCTGTGTTTTCTGAGTTTATCCCCGTGTCTGTGAACCTGCATCTTGGGTCCTTCCCCTGCCTGCCACACAACGTATCATGACATCAAAAGCTCAGATGAGCTCTCCTCCATTATTACCAGCATGATATTGAAACAAGGGTTGGAAAAAACGAATTTTTTAAATTTTATTTTTCAAATTTTCAACCAAATCGAGTGTTTAAATTCTTCTGAATTTTCGAAAAAAATGTAAACATTTGCATTCAATTGATGAAGACTCGTATAGTTTTATTTGAAATCTTTCCTAATCTGAATAATAAAATAAACATATTTGAGTCTATTTTGTCAACACATATTTCTGCTTGAATATTTATATTGTCTGATTACAATGCACGACTGCTTGCATCACTGTAATATATTCAATATTATTATTATCTATGAATTGATCCCATAGGCTGCCTTTACAAACATTTGTAAAATAATAAGTTGTTCTGAAGAGCTCACTGAACTCAAGTGTGGGAAAAGGAAACCACTGTTGCAACATGTCAGTTTGTGCAACTGTTTTTTTTCCCTTTCCGACATTCGTAATGATAATTTCTAAATAAAATTATTGCAAAGTGAATCATTTATGACCCACAGTGACTCAGCCATGATGTGACAGACCGCATACAGTTACAGAGCAGGTTCACTGAGTGCTGTTTCAAAATAAAACCTCCATGTCAGTTCCACCGGATTATCCGACAGTACATTCTCCAATGTTATTGATGCTCAAAAGTTAGTTACTGAAGGTCTTATTTTCCCATATTGAAAAATTATAATTTTAGAACACATCATGTGTGTGTGTCTTGGTTAAACCACAATATCAATAGAAGTGTGAAAATAAGATTTTTTTCGCCCTTTCTCAGCCACGCCTAACTAAAGTTGAGACTGTCTTCTTTATATGTAAACAAAGCAACAATGTGTTTAAATCTGAAAAACACATCATCAGTGGATTTGGTTAAAGCACAGCATCAGTGTATAAAGAAGATATTTTCATCCATTTAATAAAAGTTGAAGCTATATGCATTTTATGTTAAAACAGCAACAATGTGTTAAAATGTGAAATCACACTCATTGCATGATTCTATAATTTTACTTACAGTCTCCTTTGAGCTGATGGTCTTGCTTGGTGGCTTCTGGCAGTCCTGACTAAAATGGCAAAATTCATAAAAAATTAATCAAAAATGTTTTTATTTCATTGTTTTTTGTCTAGTCATCCAATGCTACTTTATTTTAGTATACAGAGCTATTTCCCTGGAATTTGTTGTTCAAACGTTAAAGGCGTAAGTTCTAAGAGCACTGAAATGTTTTCTAGAAGGTATTTTTGAGTCACTGTATGGTTATACTTGTTCATAAGAAGCTGCAAAAATTTCAGTCACGTACATCTTGCATCAACCAATAGTTGAGTTCCTTTTTAGTTAGAGCATGATTTTCAAAATAACTCTTTACTCACTTCAGAGTAAACTCACACTTCCTCTTTCTGTATTATAAAAAATGTGTTATGTAGAACCCAAAATAATTTTTCTTCTCCACTATCAGTCACTCAATCAGTAGTGTGGATAATTTTAGCATGACATCCTCAAGCACTTTATTAATAAAGTGGCATGGTTTTGCAC